CAAATGCATATGTATCAGTAAAACTAACATAAAAGAACAAACAAGAAAAAGAAAGCAAAGACAAAAAAAAAATGAAAAACATAAGAAGAAAAAAATAAAAAGAAGAAACTCCAAATGCCAAAACTCAATGAAGAAAAAGAAAAAGTCCAAAAATATTTCTTTACATTTTTGATGAGTGTTTTCTCTGGGATCTGCAGTACTGGAAACCACCAAGTAGGAGAAAAGTATAGTGAGTCATTGCTAAGACTTATTCTGCTTCCACATTCACGTTTTTGTGTCTAAATGCTGGACCTTGCCTTGCCTCTTGCATCAGCATCTTTAGTCAATGATGTTTACTCTAAGGTATAATCACTTCAGCAGTTCCAAGCTTCCATGTCCCTCTGTGCACCTCAAGTCATTACTTAGACTGCCTGGTTTCACAGCGTGTGGATTTGTGAGTAACCTTTCCCACCAGGGGTCATCTTTCCATACAGCTCAGGCTTGCCAACCATCTAAGCCAAGCGGTAGCCTTGGACATGCTGGTAGACGGCAAAAGCAAATAGATCCCTGAGGTCTCTGCTGGCTGTAGGCAGTGGGGCAGAAGTTCAAGTCCAGTTCTGGATGTGACGCCAGCACTTGCAGACTAAGCCCCTCCAAAAATCACACAGGCTCCTGGTTCTCATCACAGAGGGCAGGGTGCCCTCTATGGAACATAAATTCTCTGAAGCAGCCACAATATCTAGCCTAGACCCTCCTCATGACTCTCTCTTCTGGCATTTCCCACCCAGTCACTGTGATAGGGTGACACCAGAAACCCTCAAGTTGAGTGATTCTGTAGTGTTGACTTAAACAATTAATCCCTTTTGAGAATGGCCTCTGATAAACCCTCTGAACCATGGCAAGGGCTACACTGGTTTTCTTCAACTCCAGCCTGCCATATGGAAGGTATTACATTCAGAGAAAAACCTCACACTGTTTTTGTAGTTTAAATAACTGGATTTTTCCTGGGGCTAGCACTGCCAGCCCAGTCTATTGTTTCTCCCTGGAGTTGCCAATCTTGGCAATGACGTGCATGAGTTCAGCTGAAAGCCCTGAGCCCACAGCAATGACTCATGCAAGTCTATCCCAGGGATCTGCACTAGGAAGGCGTAAAGGTCAAGGGTGAAAGCTAGAAAGTCTGTGCCAGTGGAGTGAGGGATCTGTGCTAGCAGGCTGAGGGGCGTGTACTGGAACCAAGAAGTGATGCTCAAAATAAGAAACAGGGTTCCCCAGAAAAGTACCACAGCCATCCTCAATGACAATGAAATCCTGAACTTCTCTGACAATGAGACAGCTGAGTTTTTATCAGCAAACCAATGCGACAAACTTCTGCTGGAGATTGAATAGCACACATATTCCCCTCCAGAGCCAGGAAGCAATGATCAAAAGTAAGGATCAGGGATCCCCCAAAGTGAACCACAGTCATTCTCAGTGTCAAGTTTCTGAGCTCTTCCAGTGATAACAGGAGGGTTCATATCAGGAGAGACAGCACAACAGGCATCTCCAGGAGAACCAATGGCTCTGAACTGCAACACTTAGGAGAACCCACAGCACTATTCTTCCTCTCCTGGTCTCCTTTTTATGCTGGAACAGTCCTCAGGTGGGCCATCCATTCTCTGCACCACGCTGATTTAGTTCTGCTGGTGTTTAAATTGACCACCAGTTACCAATTCTTTCATTTTGAGTAGTTTCTTTCTTTCACTTTCACAATATCTGCTCCAGTATTTTTAATCTACTCCAAAACTATCGCTCTGTAAAATGTAAATATAAATGCAGTATGACTTTTTAAAATCATATTTTCTGACTTTAAAAGTAATAGTTACTTTGAAAACTTAAAATGTAGAGAAAAATACAATGAATCATAGTTATCTATCCCAAATTTTAAAGCCTGTATTTATTCATTGTGAAAAACTTTCTTCCTTGGTAGTGATATTAACTGTTTAAGTATTTTCTTCTTGTGTAGTCTATTGTATGTAATTTTTTAAAAATTCATGTTAATTCTATTTTTATATCTTTAAGGGAAGAAAAATACTGTAAAATATTTTTAACATATTCTTAACTTACAGGTTCAGATGACTACATTTTATCTAGAATGTGAAAGACACACCAAAAATTGATGTACCTTCTGGAATTCAATGGGACTCATTTGAATACATGTTCAGGGCCTGTCTTAGGTACTACAGAAATGACAGGCTAATTTTAGCATTGAAAAATATGGGACCTAAAGCAATACACACTAAAATGTCACTCTGTACAGATGATAACAAGCACAATAAAATGTACAGCTGAGACTCAAAAAATGAATTTGAAAAGAGATGATAGTTCATTGGTGAACAAAGCTTGGAAAGCTCAGTGGTAGGAATTCAGATATGATTTTGTGCACCTTCAAGGGCACAGACCCACAAAAGGGCACAAGAAAGAATTAGACTGATGAATTTGACAATCCTGTGTCAACTAGGATGACTTGCTGTAAGTGTTAAGTAAGAGGTAAACATGAACAAGTTAATACCATGGGTGAAGATAACAGCAGTGGGTTGGAGACTGTGACAACAAGGATAAACTTGAGTCGTTCACAGAAAAACGATCTGATTCATCTTAAGACTATAATGTTAAGTGAAATACTTCAGACACACAGCTTAAATACTGTGTGGTTCCTTATATAAGAAATCTAATGTAAGTAAAGAGCAAATGAGTGATAGATAATAGGAAGAAGGGGGATTTTTCTCAGATGAGAAGGGATCAAGAGACAGAGGGAAGGGGAAAGAGGAAGGAGGGGAGGAAAAGGGAGTGAATAAATGAATTAAGATGTACTAACTTCTCACAAGGAATGCAAACACTGTGTACTAAGGAAAATTTTTGAAAAGAAATGAAAGCAGCTGACACAAGAAAAAGAGGTAGCCCGTTATCTAAATGAGTGCTTGTTAGATGTGTCTCTCAAGCAACGAGTTCGTTCTATTCAAGAAAGATAGAAAGAGCCACAAAATTTTATTGGAAGTGTATACCAAATTGAACTTTCTCTTTCTCTGGGTTTCCCAATCGCAGTGCTGCTGACGTTTGGGCTTTGCTAAGTGTTTTCCATGGAGAACTGGCTCATGTAGTAACACAGTAAGCTGCCTCTTTGGTCTCTATCCAGTAGATAAAAGTAACTCCCTTCCCCCATTTGTGGTAACTAAAAATGTCTCTAGGTATTGCCAAATGTTCCGTGGGAGGGAGGGATAAATTGCTACTCACTTGAGAAGCTCTGGGTTTGCCAGTCATTGGAGTGTCATGGAATTGAGTTACCTGATAAGCTTTAGATTTCAGAGAGGAGATTCCAGTGGTAGGATAAGTAAGTGCTATGTAAGGAACAGAGGACAAAGGGACACTGCAGGCAGATGACCCAGCATCTAAACAGCTACCCTAGTGCTCTCCACCCTTGTGAATAAGAATGCATTCACAACTGAAATTACAGTGTAACTGAAACAAACATTTAACTTAGAGACTCTGACTTTTGACTCATGGTTTAAATACAAATATTACTGTTAGTCCCACAATTTTATTTGAAGTATTTTAATTTGTAATAAACAGCTCTGGTTTGAGTTTCTAATTTCCCTTTAAGGCTCTTCTTTTTGTAGACACAACTATCTAAAAAGCAGTTTTCCTTTTTCCTATTAGTGACTATTAACAAGGTTTTCATTATATTGGAGGTATAATGTTGACATTTATAGAACTGCATTCCAGGTGAGATCGCAGAAATCACACGCAAAACATATGCCATTGTCATTTTACATTGATTTACTTACTTAACACAGATAGAGGGTCAGCTCTGCCCTAGGCAGAGTATGGGGCTCTGAGAATGAGCTAAAGAGCAAGAGTGACATTCGTGCCCTGTGAGCTTGGTGTTTAGTGGAAGGATCATAGTCAATGAATCATACAGCAAGGTAAATCATTTTAGAGTAATTCTAATAGTCACAACAAGTCATTGAGTTAATGCTACATTTCAGCGTAACTGACCAGGGTAGCACTTCTAGATCTATGGTTATCACTCAATTCTCATTTTGTGTGAAAAACACATTTAGACTACACTTGACTTGATTATTATCGTGGAACACTTTTAAATATTGTTATAAAAACAAATATGATATACATTCACTTAGTGCAAGGAGTCATTCTGTGTAAATATATCATACAATATTTTGGAAACTAATTAGATAAACAGACACAGACAAAGTAGAGATTTAATTCTGTTATCAAGAAGCAAGTTTTTCATGCAACTTGACTTTTTTTTTTTCTTTTTGAGCCAAGGTCCTATCATTTTGGAGCCCAAGCTCTTCACAAACACGCAGCAATCCTCCTTCCTCAGCCTTCCAGGTACTGGGATTTTAGTGAGTGACTTATTTTTGTAACTAATACCAATGGTATAAATTTATAATTCTAACTAAACATTTGATTCTAACTAATCATATACTCTATGACATATGGTAGGCAATCATTAATATTTGCATAATAAATAAAAGAGTGAATGGATAAAATTAAAGTGTTGTATACTCCTTAAAACCGCTCAACAAAGAAAGGTAATAAGAGTCATATTAAATATATAAATCTGTAAAAGATGTTCTTTAAAGTTTTTCTTTATTTTTATTTTTTAGTTTAAGGCAGCATAAAAGTATTTTCCATGAAAAGCAGCAGAAGTGTGCAGAAAGAAATTTTGAAGTGGGCTTGGCATTTGAATAACCCTTCAAACATGAGCAAGTATTTGAAAGACAGATTTGTGAGGAAAGGACATTTTAAATCAGAAAATAAAAATAGGCGCTAAGCAAAATAAGTAAATTAATTAGAAAATAAAAACCTCTGCCAATGACCTTTGGTGTCCTGCAGAGGGAGAGAGTTTGATGTGGTCAGCAGCATCAGGAGAGCTGTCCAAGCTGTCCAGCAGTGGTTGTGATGCAAATGGAGCAACTGAGAACCATTTAAAAAGTGCTCAGGGTTAAAAGGCTTTTGTAGTGCTCGCTTTGGGAGTACATATTCTAAAACTGGAAGGAGACAGAGAAGATTAGCATGACCCCTGTGCAAGGATGACACACAAATTCATGAAGTGTTCCATATTTTTAGCCATTAAGGTACAATACCTAAAAAAAATTTACAGAAGGTTTTTAAACTATGAAACTATGGCAATTAGCTCATTATAAACATATCCCAAGAACAGCAGGAATAGAGAACTTAGGTAGTCTTCTGATTTTACTGTCAACTCACAAATGTAGCAATAACTTTAAATGTTGATTAATTTATCTTATCTAGATTTCACTGAATGTTAACATTGATTATCATTTCAGGTTTAGATATTGTTAATTTACAGTGTATGGATTTAAATGATCATAAAGTGAGGTGACTTTTAAACTGTACCAGTGTTGTAATGCTATATCATATAAAAATGAGCTTAATACCTACAAAGAGCACTTTTGACTTTTCTGAACTACAAACTGAAAATTATTTGTGCTTCTTTCTAAATAATGATACATAATGTTTAATGGCAGGAAAAAGATTTAATGCATTTTTGTAAATTGACTATAGTAGTTTACACACTGAAGATTTTAATTTAAACAGTTCTTTACAAAAAAATTCATACGTTACAATGAATACATACCACCAACCCATCTAAATAGAAAAAAGGCTATTGTGTCAATTTTTACATTCTTTTAACCTCAAGAGGCCATTTTATTCTCACATTTATAAGTATAATGGCATCTTTTGTTAAAGACCCCAAAGAAGGCTTACTTTTTGTTGTAGTTTTGAATATCAAAGCTGAAATGGAAAATATTTAGAATATTAATTTACTGCAAAGTAGCTATGAGACATCTTTAATTTAACATAAATTACATATCTATAAAACCAGATAGTTTGCTAGCAGGCAGTCGTGAGTTCGATGCCCGGTACTGATAAAAAGGAAAAAAAAAGACAAAAAAACCCACATAGTTTACTGAACAAACATAGAATAGTGAAAAATTTGCATTACTTTATACTTTTGCAAATTTAATTTCTTACTTAATTGAAGATTCCTGAATGTACATAATTGCTTATGTATCTAACATTATTTTGTGCTTATTTGGTTGAAGTTAAATCTACTTTCATACTCAAAGTTAGAGAAGGAACAAACATGACCTTTTCAGATTATTGTAGATATTCTTATTTGATACTAGACCAAAACTTGCAGATGGTAGTTTCTTAGACGTTAGTGTAATGTTGAATCTGAAATTATGTCAGTGTTTTGAATTATGTTACATTAGATTTCATCAGTTTTCTCCTTAAGTGAATCTTTTACCTATGTGTTATTTTATAATCTCTTACATCAGTTAATTAGAAAATACTGGTTTAATAATGCAGATATGCCACATTTTGACACATTTTATTATACTACATTAAAATATATTTGGAAATACCATTACCCAATATTCTTGAAAAAGTATCTAACTTAGGATGCTGTCAAACTCATAGCAGTAGATGATACAACATTTTCTTGAAAGCTTACCTTTTATCATTGGCAACAAATACAGAAATTTCTTTCCCTGGAGGTAACAGGCTCATTATGTTCATTTTGAAAAAAAAAAAATCTCAAATACAGAAGCTTGAATAACTATAATTTGTCAGTAGCCTTCCAAGTAAAAATGTTCATGAAAAAACCTATTCAACCACGGCTCAAACAGTTGCAAGAGTCATTTCCTTGAGGTAAACAGGGTACTTCAGTGTGAAGAAGAATACAATGTTAAAAGATGAATACTCTAGTGTTAATATTTGATTTACATTTCAAGCATGTAGTGCTCTGTAAAGGGTATTCTTAAATGGAAATACATTATTTTTAACAGTGTACATTAACAGTACCCATTTGTTAGTAATGACCACAATCTACTATAGCTCATGTCACTGGGGTGATCCATGTTCATGACTGGTGATCTGGTTTCAGCCTATGTAAAAAGAAAATAATGTCTTGTGAAACATTTTGGAGTTTAGTGAACTCCTTAATTACTTTATATACCTTCAAGAGCTCACAGCCTATAACATGTGTTATACCATGGCATAAAAATCTGAGGCAGGGACATACAGACGTTGTTGTTAGTTTATTGTAATTCTGAGATGCTCTAGTCAGTACATGGGAACATTGTCAGTGTATAGATATAAGAAAAAAAAAATTTGTACTGGGGATCGAACTCACGACTTTGCTCTTGTCAGGCATGCAGTATGCTCTGAGATATAGCCCTGGCAAAGAAAGAAAAATTTAACTCTTGTGAGTTTTGGTGTTATTGTCATCTATAATATAAAAGAGCTTATTTTTTCCTTTGCTGACTCTAGGTGGGCTGTCCTACTCTGACTTGATTTTTCTGTTTACAAAAGGCTGTATGCTACAATAAAATACCTATTATTTTTTCCTGCTGACCTCAGATACTAATCTTGTGTACTGGCTAATATATTTTGTCTACAATACCCTCTCCATTTTCAGGGCATGATTTTAAGATTGATTTATCTGAAATAGTGACTGAGTATTCAGCATTATAATGCGACAGCAAAAGTCTCAAAGTCACAACTGAACTCAAAACATTATACCTACTTGTTTATGGTGCAATGCATCATTGTCAGCCACAAAATAACTGGGGGAAGAAAGAATCAAGTTACAAAAGTTCTTTCAAGGACGTGAAACAAAAATTCAAGATTGAGGGAAAAATCAAGTAAATTTACTTTTTAAAATGCTTAGGAATTATTCTGACAGAAGGATTCATCATTTCTTTTCATGTGTGGAAACTTTACCAAGAACTTCGAGCTAGGCAGGCACTCTACCACTGAGCTATACCCCACCGGCTCTGACACAAGGATTAAGCATCAGAAAACCTTATATCTGACCACTGAGTAAGTTAAAATGGTTTTCTTTAGCCTACTTAGGTGAAAATCATAATGCATTTAATGAAAAATGTTTTCAAATTCTATATTCTTTAACAAAATTTCTCATTACAATAATTAAGAACTTATTTTGCTCATATATAATTTTTATTTTAATACATGAAGTTGTTCTTTGCTTGTTTTGATTTTGTCTTGGTTTCTGGTGTTTTTTTTTTTTTTAACTTCTTTCTTCCTTATAATTGTAAAAACAGAGTTCATGATTTTACTCAATGCCCTATAACAAGATAAATATGTTAATAAGAGTAAAACAATGAAAATCTATTTAACCAAAAATTTAGATGACAAAAATGTCAGAAATAAAGATTCAAAGATCCAGGAAGATCTGTGTATTTTTTTTTTAAATCTGCTTTGATGAAAAATAGACAGTTATATAGAAGTCTGATTAGTGTACAAGAGAATTGTCTGAGAGAATAGTAAACTGTAAAGTGGGCTGCTGGTCTGTCCAAATTCTTCTTGACTTGAGACATAGAGAAATACTGACAGGAAGAAGGATCTTAGTACCTACTTCAAGAAAAGTAGAACAGGGACTTCCTTTAAGAAACTCACATAGAAATGTTGGGAGGATCAAAGGGACCGTCACAATATTTCTTTTCAATTTCCAGGGCGCTCCTATTTTGTGGTATCCTATACTAATTTCTAATATTTCTAAAGTAGTTGTCAATGTAAAATGGTCAGTAAATCAGATAAATTAGCAAGCAGTTGCTGATACAGGCAAAAAATAAATGTAGAAGATGAGTATTTCAGCAATAACTGTACAAGGTCATCTTTGCTTTGATCATAATACTTAAAAATTTGTGATGTGTAGCTTTCTTTAATTGTCATTAAAATAGGATGTAGAATGATATTCTTTTAAAATCATCAATTATTCTATGTCAAATGTAATTTAATGGTGCTGCATTATTGTTGAAATAATAGTTTTTTTTTTTCTTGAGATAGCAGCAGTGTAAAGAATTGAGCACATAGGATAAAAAGTAAATTTAGTGTTATGATCTATTAGTTCAATTATGAAATTGAACTTTAAACTCCCATGTAATTATCACTCAGTAATAATTTCTTTCTCCAAAATATCCCCTAAACTGAAGCTTCAAAATTTTAAATGAAAAGAAGACTTCAGTAATTTAATTTTAATGCGTAGTTTGAATTTGCCTCAAATTAGATGTTTGTAATGACAGATCGCAATTGCCTTGTATTTGACAAACAAAAACCATCTTATATGCCATGGTCAAAGGAAGTCAGATGGCCAAACCCAATACCTATGGGATAGAACTGTGCACCATTCCCACGAGAAACATGGTGGGGCACACGGAAACTGGCAAGGGTATTTAATCTTTTTACAAGGCGGGAGTACAAATAGAAATAATAATCCTCTGTCTTGTATGTGCTTACATTCTGCATGCAAAATTCACTCACTCTTTGATTCACCTAATTCTGGCATTGTGTTTGAAGTCTAGGATCTCATAATCTCTGCATTGGTTTCATGTCCATCAAAAATAAGTGAAATAAGAAAATTAAAAATTAGCTGCTTTCCTCTTATAAAGCATGCAGTGGGAAATGGTATACAATAGCTATGTTAAAGTTGTGGTGTGTAGGATACAGTCAGGAAAAGTGGGAGGTAAGGCATAGAGCAGTCTCTGGCCATTTCTGGGATTTTGTGGTCAAATGTAATAAAGGATTTCTTTCCTCAAGAGAGCAAAATATTTTTGGAGTAAGACTTAATCTGTTTCTTGAGAGTAATTTCTCCACTGTGTTTGAATTCCTGCTCCTTAAACCATATTTAGGAAAAAGAAAAAAACTTAGGGAAAATGTTATTCTATGGAGGTCAAGAGTACTCTCGATTTATTTCTTCTGAAAGTATTTGGAGTATGAAAGTTTATTTTCTATCTTTTCATTCATGCTGTTGTCATTGGGGACCACAGATTCACAATGGTTAATTTTGCATGCTTTCCCAAAGGATAAAATGAAGGCTTGAGATTACTGGTACTGCACATTTGAGATTTCCCATTGATTCTTCTTAGCATAAAAACATCTATTCCCTTTAGAGTCAACCCTGGATTATACTCCAGAACACGATCATTAGCATAAGATCATCTCTGCCTTTTTAAGTTATCCCAGGATGACACTCTAGGACATGATCCTCCTTAGCATAAAATCATTTCCACCCTC